GAGAGAGAGAGAGAGAGAGAGAGAGAGAGAGAGAGAGAGAGCCACGGGAGATATGAGCCGACTTTGGACGATCTATAATTTGAGACGCAACTCTAACCGCGATCTCTCATATCTTGTAACGGAAACCAACTTAAATATAAAAAAAATCCGAGTGTCTTCTTGCGGATAGAATTCTACCCCGAATTTCATCGTGAATTGCAGATAGTCCAAAGCTTCGCTTGCCTTCTTCTAATTTCTGCTAGTTGGAAAAAAACTGAGAAATGCACTTTGCAAATCCAGACAATGCATATAAATTGCACGAAATCTATTAATGCAATCACCACGAACGCAGAAGGTTGGGTTTCACACAGCGAATCTTACTTCTATCAGTCAAAATCAACGAGACGTAAGACGAAACAGTAAAGTGGGAATGTTCTCGCTGAAAATCAGTGAGTACTCACTTAACGAAATGTTTCTCTCGTTAATTCAATCCGAAATATTTTTTTACTTATTCACACTTTAAGAGAGTAGATACGAATTTTTCAGTTGAATCATGAGTCAAATATAACATCATATAATATAATATCATATAATTCAATTAAAAAAATTCAGCCGACTTAAAATTCCGATCTAAGCGTCTTACGTGAGACAAGTTTAAATTGGCTACTATTAATATATGAAGCTTCACTCTTATGATTTCGAGTGGCAGGTTCCAACGAAAGTACTGCCATCCTTCACTCGTTTTGAGATTTCTCTCTAAAAAATTTAAAGAGCATCGCAGATACGATATATATTCGTCATGTTTGCGTCTCTCTCCCTTTCTCCTTCGGCTCGACGAAGGAACTATTTGACCCGGCGAGTCGTGAATAGACGCGCAAACGCCTTTGTCGCCGCCTTCTCTGTCGTCATTGTCATCGTGCGCGTTGGTGCATCGGCTCGCCGTTCATGAATGAACGTACCGAATCAAAGGAGCGTGCGTCTTCCTGCTTAACACGCGCGAGATCAACGGGGAACCCGTTGAATGCCGGCGCTCCGGAGAGCGAGCCACTCTCCGGCGAGTGACAAATCACGTCGCCGACGGCCGCGAACTCTTACACCCGTCGCGCGATTCAGAGAGCTCTGATTCTCTCGCGCGAGGAATCATGCATATGCATCGTCGCGCGCGTGCTAACTGTTAATCGCCGTCGTCGATGTGACCGACGAGCGAGGGGCTCGTGATTGCGAATTCCTGCGGCGTGTGTTCTCACACAGTGGGAATCGTCGTTACACGCAACCGCCGACAAAGCATACACAGCCGCTCTCTACTGCTTGTCTGCTTGTCCCGCTCCATATCTCCCCGCTATTGACGACCGCTACGTTAATTGTCCTTATGGTTTCACAAGCGACTTTTTGATCGGAAAATCCTGCTGCCTAACGGTTCAGCTGGAAAATTCCCGCCTTTGTTTTCACTTGGATCGACGTGATTTCCTTCGCAGTCGATACTCTCCACTCACGGCAATCAACGCTTCCTTAAAGAAGAGAAGATAATATTAAGAGACCTTTTCAGTCTCATAAATCCTCTCCGTATAGTTGTTTATCACAAGTGTCTTAGATACATAGTTAAGAGAAGATGAAGTTTACGTACAAAACATCTTCTTTTCTATGACTGACAGGAAGGTCGCAGCGAAATGCCACTCACTCTTACGGACAAGAAGATGAGAAACGCGGACAAAGCAGATGAATCATCGGCTGGATTGACCCGTTACACGAATCATTGATTAATCTTGCGGGCAATAAAAGGAACAATAGGTTCCACGAAACTCTTAATGGTGATCTACGTGGAAGACCATCAAACGGTCAGCCAACTAACATCTCCATTTCATGGTGGATCGGCGGAACAATTATCGGCGGCTTCCTGTGCGCGATCGATCGCGTGGATCGCGTCCGGGAAATGGAAATGGTGCACGCGCGAGCGAGTAAATCGTCGGAAGCATTGACCCCGTGCGCGCTCGCGCCGATCGGACCGAAATATCCGCGAAGCCGGTTGATATTTATAAGCCGTAAGGCTTATTAATTAGCAGCGACCGGCCGGCCGGGAGAGTCAGCGACCGGCGGCGCAGCTTTTAACGGCCACGCGGAAAATCGCGCGCGCGTCCGCAGCGCGACGGTATCCGCAGCACCAGCAGCTGCTGCTGTACGCCGTGTTCACGGCCAGGGCCGAGAACAAGTTCGAGAATGTCGCTCTAGAGCGGGCATCTCGCTCCAACGCTAGAGTGACATTCTTGAACGCGGCCGCGCGGTAGAGTGTGATAAGCGATGATGCTCTATCTCGAAAGTCGAGCGCGATCCGGTGCGTGTGGAAAACTCGTTCACGTCGCTCGGCAATCATTTCTACCGACCAATTAGTTCGACGATCTCCCGGCAGTCTAACGGTATATAATAGGTTATCTCTATAAACGGCGAGAGTATTATAGTTTCTGTATTTTCATACAAATTCTTGTCAATTTTACTAATTTACTTTTCCAGAGATAAACTGTCAGCAAGATCCTACTCTTATCGTGTTTTAGTCTCTAAGTTTCTTAGAGCGAAATTCCCGTTCGCGCGCGAGAAATAGAGACCAAGTGTGTGGATGCTTGATTAACATAATGCGTGAGTTTGGAATGATTTTGGTGTATTGAATTAAGTACGGGGTGATCAGATAAGGGAAATTATGTAGGAATAAGTGTAGACAGTGTGTAAACAAACACGGGACAAGGTGGTAGATAAGAAAGCAGGATTCAGGGCGGAAAAAGTGCATAAGTAATAGAAGTTACGGTGTCATAAGTAATGGGTAGTGGAGTAATGTAGGTAATGCAGGCTAGCTTAAATTAGTATGGTAATGCAGAGGAAATTATCGACAGAGGAAATGTATAATAGGTGGTAATAGAAGACAGAAGTATACAAGGGATGGAGGAAGAAGAGAGGTTTGATCGTTGAATGAAGTAAGGAAGCAAAATAAAG